CAACGTCCACATATCATTAGTTTGCCCTATTTTCTGATTGGTAGCCGAGTTTCATTCGGATTGGTTCGGAAATAGAGCAGACCGAGGTTGACAAAGTTAGTCACCTACGCTTCGGCCGGGTCCGCAAAATCGCCCGTAAACGGGGACCAAATTTTCGCCTCGCGGGAAAGCCCGATTGGCATTGCTAGTTTACCTTCAATATTGCCAGTGAGAGCTCGATGTCCACGGTCTTTACATTTATTCAGTTATTAGCGAGCCGCCCACGAGGGCTTCTTCAAATGCTATCTTATTCGATTTCTTTTTCTTCAGCAGTCTCTGAAGAAACCACATTTGTTGCTTCTATTTAATTTCCACGGTCTTTAGTAACTGCTCACCATCAGAAACCCCCCACCTTATTTTTATTGGGTCGGGGGAGCAAGCCCCTCTGAAACCCCCTACTCTTGGGGCCAAAACCTGCGAATAACAATAGCGGGGTGGGAACTACCGAAAAAGCGCCAAAAAAAACGAACCCTCACATTATTATTCAGTCTTTGAGCACGTTCCACTCAAGACAAAATATACTAAAAACGTTTTCTTAAGAACGTTTCAACATCAAGAACGTTCTTGCAAACAAGCAATGGCCTTCTTATTGTATAAAGACCTTTGCACTTGCACTACATACACGAGTCACACGCACGAGATTCAGAAGGCAGAAAATCAGAGTGACGACAGTAGAGGAGGGTCTCGTGCAGGCCGTGTCCATACTTACCGCTTGAAAAAGACAATGATTTTAGAGACTTCAAATTGATAACATCAGCATCCAAGATTTCTTGGAACTGCTTTAATCTGCAAAAGGAAAAAAAAAAGGAAATCAATAACAGGGCATCGTGTGAAAGTTATAAAAGTTTAGACAATGGGCGTTTCTCCAGGATCCTTACCTCTGTTGATATCCGGCCATCTTGTTTGTTGACACTTTGCACGCATGCGTACAAGGGAAGTTAGTCTTAAAGTGGTTTCAATAAAAAAAAGAGCAGACTTTGAGATTCACTCACAGAATTCTGTGGATTCACTCCCTGAGAAAAGATCATAGCATAGAAGATCGTGTAGATCTAGTAGAGAATCTTTGCTGATAGTTGTCGAAAAGCAGGCTAAATTAGCACCAAAACATAAGACATAAGAGTAACGACAAACAACTCTTTGATATTTTGGAGAACAAGGCTCGCTGCCCCCCATGTCCCTAAACTCTTTACATGGGTATGAAGCCATTCAAAAAAACATTTTCTTAAGGCCAAATTGTACACCCCCCCCCCTCCACCTTTCGCGCAAAAAGAATAGGAAAGCCAAAAGAATAACTAGGCCAACACTACAACACAACAACAACTCCACCAAACCAACACCCTGCATACATGAAAACACATTCACCCCCCCCCCCCTTAAAAACAAAACAGAAACAAAATAATAATTGATAACAACCATGAAAGGAACCAAAAAGAACAAACAAACATGTTTTGTTTGTCTTGATATTATAAATATGTAGTTTAAGTGTTTTAATTTTACTGCAGCCTTCTCCCAACTGCGTCGTATGGCCATATATATAATTGTGAGCGCACGGGATATACATCATTAAGGTGGAAATTAATTAGTATTTTGCCCAGGCGGCTGCCGAAGCCTACCACTCTATCGATTTTAGGACCACCAATTAAAATTTAAGGGATCTTTAACGAGCGCAACTAGCACACGGGACCTCCAAGATTTTTTCGCCTTTATCCGAGAAGGCTCTACTATAAGGCGTTCGATCTTACTCTAAGGTATAGAATAAACAGGGGGTAGGAATAAACTCACCCATGTTGTTTTCGCGGCCCTGTCCAAGAGGAGGGGGGGGGGGGGGAGCAAAGAATAGGACCACTACATCCGTACCGCGCATATAATAATAATAATAATAATAATATATAACATTTATATAGCGCATTTCCAAAAAAAGTAGCTCAGTGCGCTTTACATTGGAATACCCATTTTTCAAAAACCTTTCTTACTACTTCCTTTCTTCTCAAGCAATATACATTAATGCACACACACACACACACACACACACACACACACACACACACACACACACACACACACACACACACACACACACACACACACACACACACATACTATTTTCATCCAGACATAGGAAAAGAACAAATGTAATGAAAGATAACGTTAAAAGCTTATGAAGGATAGGCCTGTAGGAACAGAAAATGTTTAAGATGTCTTTTGAAGCTATCAAGTGTTCTTATTTGTCTTAGTTTCATGGGTAATCTGTTCCACATAAATGGACCAAGATATGAGAAAGATCTCTCTCCATATGATTTGTATGATTTTACAGGTGTCACAAGTAGGGTGTTATCGTTCGATGATCTTAGGTTTCTCCCTGGTTTATATATACTGATAAGGCCGCCAGTTTGGCAAAGGGTTAGGAGCCCTTTCTCGTAAAAAAAAAAAAAAAGCAGCTACAAACATATCAACAGCAAAGGAAAAAAAAGCACGACCGCCAGTTCTGGAAGATGGAGGACCTCCATCACCGAAGAGAGGAGAGAATAATATTATGGAGTGTAGAATGACGCGGGGTGGTGAAAGCCGAAGTTAAGGAAGCAACCAAGCCGAATACTGACACTTGCACGCCCCAATTAGTGCGTGATTCCATAATTTACCTGCAATATCCTGTAGTCCTACTTTTTCTTAAATTATACACGTTTTGGGTTAAAACAGCCTATCTTCGGATTGGTGGACACGCGCCCTTATTTGTTAATTTTTGTGGTTATTTATCCGTGCTGTTCTAATTTTGGTTTCATTCTAATGTAAAATCTTTATTTTTCACGTTTTTACCCTGTGGGTGACTACAAATGATATTCTGGATGCTTAAAACAGAGCACAAGAAAATCTGGTGCCTTAGATTGTTACCTCTATCAGCATATTGCTATATGGATCGTCACAGAGAGTTGAAAGCTTGAAAATTAATGGCAACTTTTTAGGCAACTTTTGCCACTTTTTGTAGCAACTTTTGGCAACTTTTGGACAAAAACAATGGCTACAAACGCAGATGCTAGACAGACGAATGCAGGGGGGTGCCAACTTGCTTCAGGGGAAACAATTCTCTATTCTGGACATCTGGAGGAAAACTTGCCACATACAGAAGGAGTAAGTATTCTGTTATCAACAAAAGCCAAGCGGGCTTTGATAGGATGGAAAGCAGAGGGTCTGCAAATAATATAAGCTGAATTCCGTTCACAAAAGAAAGACATCAACCTTCATGACATGCAGGGATATGCCCCCACCAATGATACATGTATTGATAAGGACCAGGATGTGAAAGAGACTTTCTACAAAAAGCTACAAAATACTTTTGATCAGGTTAAAGGAAGGACACCTTGATTGTAAAGGGGGACTTCAACGCTATGGTTTACAGTGACAATGTAGGCTTTGGGGAAATCAAAGGGAAACACGAACTTGGAGTCAGAAACGAGAATGGAGAACTATTTGTGGAAATATGTGCAACGAATGGGCTCATGATAGGAGAAACTGTTTTCCCACATAAACAGATACACAAAGCAACTTCGGTGTCTCAAGACCAATTAACTGAAAACCAGATTGACCACATATGAGTCAACAAGAAATTCAGGAGATCAATAAGGGATGTTAGAGTTTACAGGGGTGCAGACGTAGCTACGGACCATCATCTGCTCATTTCAACAATTCGACTAAAACTAAAGCAAAGACAGGGGGTTGTCAATCATAGGTGCTGGTACAGCGTGGGATTTCTGAGGGAGTCATCGTCAAGAGAGGAGTTTAATGCAGCAGTTAAAAACAGGTTCCAAGTGTTGGAAACACTTGGTGAGGATAGAAACGTGGACGAAACATCTGAGGCAATAAAATAAGGCTGGACCACTGTGTGTCAAAAGGTACTGGGGAAACGGAAACATGAGCACATGCCGTGGATGTCTGCCACAACTCTGAGGAAGATAGAGGACAGGAAAAAGAAAAAGGATCAGGTAAACAGGAGCAAGACAAGAGCAGCCAAAGCAAAGGCCCAAGAAGAATACTCCAAAGCAATGAAGAATGTAAAAGTCAACATACGGAAAGATAAAAAAAAGAAACTATGTAGATGACCAGGCGCGTGAGGCAGAGGAAACAGCAGGGGCAGGAAACATGAGAGGACTATATGAAACCACCAAGAAAGTTGCAGGCAGATACAGGAACGCAGATGTGCCAGTTAAGGATAAAAAGGGAAAGCTTCTCACAAATCCAGCTGCAGACGAACAAAATGAACGCTGGAAGGGGCATTTCAAAGAGTTACTGAACAGACCAAGGCCAGAAAAACAGTTTGACATTCCACCAGCAGAGATTGATCTGGGGGTGAGTGAAGAAAAGCCTAGTTTAGAGGAGATCAGGGAGACGATAAGACACCAGAAAGCAGGCAAGGCGGCCGGCCCCGATGGAATTCCCCCAGAAGTTCTCAAGGCGGATATCGACACTGCGGCAGGGATTCTTCATGGAATTATTGGCAAGATATGGGACTGTGAAGAATTTCCACAGGATTGGAGAGAGGGATTGCTTGTGGAACTGCCCAAGAAAGAAGACCTGCATGAGTGTAAAAACTACAGAGGAATCATACTCCTGTCCATTCCAGGGAAAACTTTAAGACGTACCATACTGGAAAGACTGAAGGTAGCCGTGGATGTAAAACTAAGAGAGGAGCAGGCAGGATTTCGTAAAAAGAGATCATGTACAGATCAGATTGCAACTTGAGGATAATAGTGGAGCAGTCCACAGAGTGAAACTCTTCCCTGTGCGTTAAGTTTGTTGACTACGAGAAAGCTTTTGACAGCCTAGATAGGGACTCAATGTGGAAGCTCATACGCCACTACGGACTACCTGACAAGTTCGTGAGATTGATCAAGAAGATGTATGAGGGAATGAGCTGCAGTGTCTTACTTGGAGGACAGCGGACAGACTCATTTGAAGTGAAAACAGGAGTGAAACAGGGATGCCCGCTATCGCCTTTTCTCTTTTTATTAGCAGAGGATTGGATAATGAGACAGACAATACCGGGACAACGCGGTGGCATACAGTGGACCCTTTCTAGTCAGCTGGAAGACTTGGACTTTGCCGACGACTTGGCACTTCTTCCTCACAGTCGAGCCCAGATGCAACAGAAGACAGATCGCCTCAGGACCTTCTCCCGTAGTGTTAGACTCCATATTCACATGGATTAAGCGAGAGTTCTTAGAATAAATGCAGCCGACGTTCCTATCACACCACAAGGGGCACCATTGGCGGATGTTGAATCCTTCACCAACCTGGGAAGTGTCATCAACAAGGCAGGAGGAACAGACGAAGACATCAAGGTCAGAATCCAAAAGGCAAGAGCAGCATTCATTACCCTCAGGAATAAATTATGGATGTCTAAGGAACTGGGATTGAACACCAAGCTGAGGATCTTCAAAACAAACGTGAAAACTGTTCTACTGTATGGTTCAGAGACATGGAGGCTCACAGCATCAGCAGCAAGGAAACTGCAGAGATTCATAAATGGATGTCTCAGAAGGATAGTGGGGATCACGTGGTACGATCGAGTCACAAATGCTCAACTGTGGGAAAGAACAAGCCAAAGGCCAGTAAAGGAAGACATACAGGTGAAGAAATGGAAATGGATTGGGCACACCCTGAGGAGACCCCCGAAAGGCATCATCAGACAGGCTTTGACGTGGAATCCACAAGGAAAACGTAAGAAAGGAAGACCAAAGGTGACGGAGGCGAGCGGTACAAGCGGAAATGGAAAAGGCGGCGACATCATGGAAACAGATAGAACAGGATGCACAGGACAAGCCTCGCTGGAGAAATGTTGTTGATGGCCTATGCTCCACTGGGAGTTAAAAAGGGCGAGAGAGAGAGAGAGAGAGAGAGAGAGAGAGAGAGAGAGAGAGAGGAATAAACTGGGGGGGGGGGGGGGGGGCACATTCAACCTCATA